AAGAACTTGCTTATTTTACAACAAACTTCGAAACAACTGTGGAGAGGAAATGAACTCTGAGGATAACTCCTACAAACGTTAGGTTTTGTTTATGTGATAATCCAAATGTGCCAAATGCAGAAGTTCATGATCAAGAACTTTTTGATAGAATCCAGGCAGTTAATGTAATGGTTATCTTGATTAAAGCCCCAGGTCAGAAAAGGAGTTAAGCTGGTGCCTCAGATTGAAGATAGACAAGCAATGTGTTCGTTCATCGCAGTACCTGAGTGCAGTCATGTGTGTGACTTCCAAGGCTGGGGTGAGTTTCCCTTAAGCCACAATGTTTACAAACAGAGTTGGATCTGAGACAATTAAACTGACATGTGCTTTACAGATGGTAAACCCTTCAGTGCCTAAGCATTCTTATCGTAACAGAAGGAAATCACATGCTGTGTAACTGACATTAATTGTGTGTGTCTGTGTCTCATCTTTGCTGTTTTCTGGGGCTGGGGTAACCTGCTGGTTTATACGAATTCATGAAAATACACTTACTTAATTTTTTCCATGGTAGCCTATTCAGAAGAGCAGTGAAAGGGACAGGCAATTGTGAGTAAGAAAGGGTAAATACTGCTGAAGTTTTTTGTTTTGTCTAAACTCAAAGAATTAAAACAATCAGTTCCATTCTCTCAAAATTTAGGAAAGAACTAACAATGTTGAGTTGGTCTACACACACACACACACACACACACACACACACACACACACACGAATGTTTATGTGTATGTATGTATACATATATTGTATGACTAAGAAGAAAAAGAAGACAAATTGATTTGTCACTTCTTCCCCCAAAATGATTAATCTGGGCAATCAGTGTGCTACCTGTTTCCAGCTAATATGGATTTATATAAAAATAGTAAACAAAGTACAACTCTTTCTAAATACAAAAGGGATGTCTCACTTCCTTTAAAGAAAGTAAACAAGAACTAAAGTTACTAAAACCCGAGGTCCAGGGGGCATAAGTAGTTTTGGGATTTGTATGCCTTAGCCTGTCCCCCATCTGAATTCCTGGTCCCTGACTGAAGAAACAGAGATGCAGACACCATCTGTGACTAATGTAAACCCTCAGAGTTGGGGTGAAAATGGTCCTAAGGCTGAACTATGAAAACAGGTGAGACTGCAATGTCTAATTCAAAAATAAGACAGTACAATGCCTTTGCTTTCTTCGTATTAAAACTTTAAAGTATCTTTTAAATGTAGCTGAAATTTTCTAATTTATTTCCAAGTCCCTGTTTAATTTCCCACACCTTCCCATTCCCCACCTTTCAAGTTGCACAAGAAACTTCAAAGGATGAAGGATGCACATGTTAATGGACCTAAGACATGTGTAAACCTACAAAAGGTGGTTTCCAAAAGAATTATTTGTTTTCTTTATAAATTGTTGGAAAAATAGAATAAAATGGCATAGTTCTTTTTCAATTTTTATTAAATATTTAATACTGATGCATACATGTAATATTTTTTATTCAATCTGCCACCCATTTTTCTTCTCCAGTTACTCCCCATCCCCTTAACTTTTCTTTCACATGCTCTCTTTTAAATTAGTAACACTGAGTTCATTTAGTTCTGCCTGCATGGGTGTTCGAAACTCTAGTGCAGTGTTCGTAGCCTGTAGGGACCATATCCTTGAAGAAAAGTGGCTCTTTCTCTCCCAGTAACCAACAACTGCTGATAGTTTCTGGTGATAGGCAATTCTTTTCTGATTCCTTCTACCATACAGGATGGTAATTTGGTTTATTTGATCTTACACATGTCTGTACACCTAACAATAATGAGAGGCTGAGTGCTCATTCCTAAAAGGGATATCAATATCGCACCCTTTGCTCCCTGAAACTCATGGATTATCATGGAAGAAGCAGCTAAAAGCTTGTTAGGAGCCAGGGGGAGTGAACGTCTGTACCAAAACAGTATATTACATGTACAGAGTTTTGCTTGCACAGATGTTTGTGATTTCTGGTGCCCACAGAGGCCAGAAGATGATATCAGACCTCTGGAACTGGAGTTAGAGATTATTATGAGCTGGGAATTGAACCTGGGTCCTCTTTAAGAACAGTCTGTGCTCTATACCACTGAGTCATTTCTCTCACCCGTCTATACTTTTTAATTGTGCAAATATTTACCTCAGTTATATCATATCCACTTTAGATGTTAAGAAACCAGGTTACCTTAAATCAAAATATCTGAAAGGAAGGCAAATGCTATATAAAAGGCAAATGTTTTATAGAAGTGAAACAGACTATGTTTTCAAAGGTCAGTGACCTTTCTAGAAGGATAGTCGAATCAGAATTTGAGATAAAATAAACACGAAATGGCAGGACTATAGCTCAGTGGTGGGGCACCCGAGTAGCTTGCCTGAGGCCCTGGGTGTGAGTCCTAGTAGGAAAAACAAAGCTATAGCCATGCTCAGCTGTTACTGTTCATGTTGGGAGAGCCTGCAGAAAACTTGGGAAACAGGAAAATAGATATGTATGTATGTATGTATGTATGTATGTATGTATGTATGTATGAACTGAAGAAGGACCACAAACAGTAGTATTTGTAGTCTGAATCCAGCCATGAAATATGAATTTACAACTGGTCTCAGCTATTACATGAAGGGCATATTTATTATTGGAAGACATATCCTTTCAAAGCTTACTTTATCTGAAGAGGACCTGAGCCAAACAAAGAGCTGGGATTGGTGAATAGGTTTATTTAATTAGACTAGAAAAATTTAATCGCTTTGCAGGAATGATCCAGACCCCTTATGAAAAATAAAATGACAGAATTAGATGCGTGAGAAATGTACTGAGAAAAATGCACATATAAATAATAAAGCAGAGACAAAACAGGCTGTGGTGATGGCAACCGTCAAGCCATACTGCGGAGCTGACACCAAGAAAGACTCAAAGAAGGAAGGCTGGTTGGGCAGACAAAGCACCTCTCTGCAGGAAAAAGATGCTAAAGTTTTGCACACTGGACCTGCATCTCAGGAGTCCTGTGTGTCAGGAGTAGCCTTCGAGGGCTGTGGCAGGCCTGAATGTCTGGTCGTGGGAACTATGTCTCAGCTATGTCTCTTACAGGGGCAGCTCCCAAAGAAAGATCTGAGCAGAGCACTCTTATGGCCACAAAATGTATTTTGTGGATATTTTCACATCATCAGTAAATTTACAGTAGCTTTGCTCTTAAACATTGCCTGGACTTTAGGAAACAGAAACATGAAACTCTGATGTCCCTGCCCATCACATTCACTCTGCTTTTGGAAACCCAATTCATTAATATATTTAAATGAAAGAAATCAATTTTTAAAATGGATCATTCAAGCTTCTCTTTTATTTTTTTCATAAATTAAAAACATTTTGTCATTCTGCATTTAATAAGCATTGCATGACTGTGAATTAAATTAAATTTCAATTCTTATTTGAAGACAGATCATAAGCAGAGCGACTTTTATTCTTCTGGATTGATTTAAAGCAAATTGTTCTATGTATTACAGCAATCTTAAATATATTTAAAGTTTTTAGAAATTGAGAATTATGTGAAATAGTCTAAGAGTTTAAGTTTAAACGAGGCAATTAGCTGGTTACAAGTGGAACTACTAGGCCTTATTTAAAATAATGAGGTCTGACAGTTATGGAATCTGAATTATTCATTGATAACTAGCTTTTCCTCATCTGCAAACCATGGCTAGCATTAATAACAGAGGTGTAAGTGTGATAACCAAAGAGTCTGACATTAAGAACATGCATGCAAATGTGCTAAATTCTTATTTAATTAAAAAGGATCATGATAGCAATATTTTTTCTGAAAGAAAATCATTAGGCAAAATGTGTTTTCTCATGTTACAGCTTTCCTTCTTTCTGAGGTAGATTTTGTGTAAGGAAATAATTGTTTTCAATAACATAAATTTTTCTTAATATGTAGCATTAATAAAGTATAAAGAAATACAAGTATTATTTAAATTGTTAAATTCTTAACACAATAATTTTAGAATTATAATTCCCTCATATTTACCCATTTAAAACAAGGGAAATTACATAGCTCCATATTTTAATTGAAAGAGAAAAGCAAGCCATAATAAATTATATGCAAAAGGGCAAATAACTCGATTGATGATCATTTAATAGAAATGAGCACTGTGATTACCATGAGCCAATTTACTTCCTGGAAGCACAGTTCAAAACTAACAGAATAAATCAAGTTGTTGGTCCCCATAATTTTCCAGCAAAGAAAGAAAACTTGCTCAGGGTCACCAGGCATAAATCCATATTGTCCTTTACAGTCAGAAATTGCAGAACTCAAGGAGGGATGTGTGTACATATGTATGTAAGCATATACACAAGTATACAACATTAAAGCAATAATCTTAGTCCTGGAAAGAGGTTGATAAAAGAAAACAAGCCAGAACTAACACACCCTCATTTTTGTGCTGGGCTTTTGTGTAATTGTGTCAAAAGTCCATGAGAGAAATAATTGAAAGGAGAAAGGATTTATTCAGACTCACAATTTCTGAAGGTTCAGACCTTGGTCCCTTGCCCCAAGAGCTAGGACAGAGGTCCTTCCCCCACTTTGTCAGTCAGAAAGCAACCAGTGAGGAAGGGGCTTTGAATCAGGTATAACCTTCAGAGACACACCTCTGGTGACTCACTTCTTCCACTCAGTTCCTCCCAAAGTTTTAAACACTGCAATATAGTGCCACCAGCTGTGGATGAAGCATTCAACACATTATGATGAGGGCACATTTCATACTCTATACATAATACATGTGCCTACTGTGGGCATGTTTCATATTCTATACATAATACATGTGCTTACTGTGATCTCTATGTTATTTTCAACATTGCTTATAAATGTCTAATTCAACACCTAATATTAATTCTTAAATTATCAACCATCTATAACAATCAGTCTAACTATCATCCTCAATGAACTCCCAATATTACTGGTTTATATCTGCTGTTTTGTGTAATTATTTTTAGAAAACACACAGGACCTGTTCACTCTCCAAAGTCTCTTCCATTGATCACTGCCATAAGAAGGGTAACAATAACTCCATTTATGAAAGACCTGTTGTAAGACAGGGTGAGAACAGTGAATAGGTCCTAAGAGGTAGTTTTGTAGTGTTAGTATCTTCAGCTCATAGTTTCCAAATTGAAGTTCTAATAGGTCAAATAATGTGCCCAATGTAACACATTTAGGCTCAGAGGGCCAGAATTCAGACTTGTCAGCCTGACGAAAATCCAGGCTCATAATCATCATAATGCATTCCCACTGCTCTGCTCTCCTGGGAATTCAATCTATATTGCAGGGGAAAAAAGTTAGGAGATGTTCACCACCACACCTGAGATATAGCATGACACCACAAACCCAGAAAATGTGAGATATTAATTAATAATTTTTTGAGTCTAAAAAATCAAAGTGTACACCCAAGTGAAATGAAGGAAAAGATGATGACCAGTCAGCAGGGTCAGGAAATCTCATGTTTCAAGTCTTCTCCCTGGTATTCCTAGGCGGCACAACCCAGAGAAAACAGTTAAGTGACTCTGGTTAAGCCTTCAGTGTCTCCAGAGTCTAAGTAAAGAATGTTCCAAATTGGGCTTTCAGATCCATCTCTGGATTTATGGCTCTGCGCCTATGCATTTGTGGCACAGTGGTCTCTTTAGAAAGACTTACAAAAGGAGAGTTTGAAAAATGGCCTTTTTTATTAGTGCAGATATATATTCCATAATGTGATTTTTTTTTCAGTACAGATGTCAGTTACAGTACACCTATCACGCTTGGCAGATTGTGTCATTGGTCAAGCAGGAGAGAAACCCCAATATAATGATTAATAATCAATGTGTCTGGCCTTTAAGTCCACCCAGAGGAGAAATGAAACACTGATATAGAATCTCTCCCTGAAGGAAGAAAAACACTGAGGGTGGAAAAAGAGGGCAGGATGAGACTTCCTTGGAGGAATATAAATAGTGAAGCTGTCTAGTCTTGGGTTCTGCTTGGTTTGGTATAAAATCTTGTAAGTGAATGATACATGAAGTTTACATCATAGTTTCTTTTTGTAATAAAACCATTAATATAAAATAAGTAAAATATAAGGACACCACTTTTGAGCTTTTTTCTCCTTTCTTGACAGCTGCTCTCCTGCCCCCTTCTCCCTGCTGAGCAGCCCAGTTTGAAACAGATGAGGGGACACTGCAATATCCAGGCAGGAATTATTACAGCTTGTTTCAGTGTTGGAGTCAAGTTAAACTCTCTCTGGAAATGCTGATCTGCATATTCATTTTGGCCTGACTCCCTAAGTTTATACTCTTCCATCATCCCTTCTTACACTCTCGAGTTTCTTTGGTTGGCTATATCAGTCCTCAAAGAAAAAAATCAGGCAGGTGCAACAGAAAATAGGGTATACAATCCCATTGATTATTTTATGCTAATGAATGAACTATCTAGCATTATAATATTTCACTTTTTGTGCCCTCCTGGTGGTAGCAAAAGATAAATTCTAGAGTGTCTTTAATTAACTAAAGGGAGCAGAAAGAAATCTCTGTGGATTAATAATATTTATGGCCCTAAAAGGAACAAAATAAGAGATGAAGGTGGGAGGGGTCACCTAAATGGTAGACAAGTCTTAGGGAGTTAATTAAAACAAAATTCATGCTTATTTTGGCCTTTTCATCTGCATACAGTATTGATGCCAGAGAATAATGAATGGAAAATTTTTAATGTTCTTATTCTTTGTCCTAGCCTGTGTAATCTATTCCTTCCTTCACTTTCCACCCACATATTTCTATACATAACCACACAGCCAATGACTGAAAACTCTAAGCAGCTGCCTTTTATATTTATTTGATTTTTTAACTGAAATTAATTTCTTGAAGTTGTACGCAAACCAACAGCTTAATTGTTTCATTTCTGAGCTTTGAAGGAGAGTGTCATGGAAAAGTCTCTCATAATGTCAAGTAGTTTGAAGCCAATAACAGAAAGATTTGGGCTCTAGTTATCTCTCTCGGCATCATAAACAGCATGAGGTTTTCATAAGCTGGCTGGTTACCAGAAATAACCACGGCAGGGATTTGTTGGACCATTTGGAGAACAAGGCCCAAGGAATATGAATCCAGAATTTAAGGGGAAAAATGGAGAGTCAGTGACCCATTCTCTGCAGTGTGTGTGCGGTTTGCTTCACAATTTCTACCTTGGTCCTAATCACGACCATTTCTGAGTTTTTTAAACCAGGAAACGGACAGCGACAGATGCAAATCTAGTCAATGTAAATCAGAAATAGGGAACTCTAAGTTGATTCAGTAATAAATAAGAATAGATAAATATAAAATATTATTAACGAGTTAAAGAGTTATCCAAGCCTAGTACCAAATGTGAAACTTGGAGTCATTTATTGTGACCTTATTATGTTTTGTCCAAAAACAGTTTTGAGAGGTTTGCTATCAGTTATCAAGGTCCATGTTGATAAGTAAAAAATCCTACAACAATTGATTTCTCTTATGAATAACTTCTTAGTTACTCATCTAGATCTCTTCCTAGGCTTCATGTACTTGCCCACGTCTCCCTCATAGCATCATTAAATAAATGCCATTCTGTCTGGACCAGATCTTATATTTTCTAATTCGACTGTTTCTATCAGTAGTGTTCCTTCATGTAGTGGAGCCTCATGAGCGTCCAGGAGCATGAAGGTGCTGGGACTTCTGGTTCACTGAAACTTCCAAAGAGAAATACCAATCTGAAACAAACTGATCTGTTCTATAAACGCACACCTGTTGTCCTTCCTTGAACCAGACAATCATGCCCTTCACTGATCCTACAAAATCAGGGTCTCAAAATAGGTTTGAGTATTTTTGTAGAAAGATTTTCCATCCAGAATGAATGTATGGAGCAAAAATCTAGCTCACACTCCCCTCAGGAACACTTAGGCCCTAACCAGAGGCAAAAAGAAGATATCCTTTTATAATTTAACCACCAAGAATGAGTGCCTTGAGAAGCCAACCTTCAACTGGTTCACAAAAGATGACAGGTATGGAACATGCAGAAACCCAGCCTGACTCATTCTTTATGTTCTTGGCTGGGTTTGTTACTCTGTCAGGTTTTTTTGTTTGTTTTTGTTTGTTTGTTTTTTGATAAAATTGTAGTTTTAAAATAAAAGTGTATTTTCCAGTTAAATTTCTCAGGTCTAAGTTTAGCTGTATTATTCTATTTGAAGACAAAGTCTGAAGAACAACTTGCAACACACTGTAATGATCAAGGAAGTAATAAGTGGACCTTCTAAGAAGCATTTGGGGATTTTAACTGTCATTGACTCAGATCCACAACACCTGGAAGCAAGGGAATCTGGCTTCCTGGGAAGGGTGGTGAGAAAGCCCACTTCCCGATTTGCTTCAGTGATCCCAAAGGAAAAAGTAGGTCAAAACAATTGTTCTGCAAACTCATAGCTACATGTAATCCCCTCTGTAACTTTTACTGAATCCTCTGCCCTTAAATATATTTAGTTGTGTGACAGTAAGACATATAAATATACGTCTATTCACATCAAAAATGACTTTTTTAAAAGTTCAGTTCACATCCTCATCATTTACAACCTTTATGATGTTAGCCATGTTACTTTATGTACTTAAATTATTCAGAATTATTCTGATGAATATACAAGACATTTGTGGCAAACCATAAAGAAATGATAGGAAAATAGTAGGAATGCAAATACGATGTATGGAATTAAAAGATAAAATCTCATAGGTCCAATAGGTCTGGCATTGCATTTTTTTCTGATAATATTATAAAAAAATTAAAAATGAAGAGAAAAAAACACATTTGGCAGTACAATAATCTGTCTTTTGAAATTCTTCTGCTCTTAAATTCAAACAGTATGATGATCACAGGTGTACTTGATATATCAGCAATGATTACCACACAAAACATTTCAGTAGTATTATGATTCCTTCTTAGCATTGCCCCTCATGGGACTTGTTCTTTCACTAAATTACTCACTTTAATTGAGAATTATAAAAGTACATGGGGGGTATTGCCATGCTGAGATCAAAATGACTGAAGTTTCATAGGATTCCTTTTGTGTGTGTAGGTTGATGGTAGCATGCTCTAGCTTAATTTAATAGATGAAATGGCTGTGTTTCTTAAGTACAGAAATTAGATGAAAAGCATTTGCTTTTTACACCCAAGGTCTAAATCATTATATTTATAATTTTCATTTCCCACTGAAATAACCATAGAAACTTTCTTCAATAAAATGTGTCAATTCTTAACATTGTTGTCAGTCTGGTTTTTAAATTGCTTCTATTAACTTTGGGAAAACACACTCCCACTCAAGTTTACTATGGAGGTCTTCATACCCTAAATTTTTCCATGATCCCATTGCCAAATTGTAACTGTGAAAAAAAATTCTCCCAGTTAGCAAAACAGAAAGTCAATGAAATGTGTAAAGAGAAAGGTTAATGGTATAACAGGATCAGTTTATATCAAAATATTGAAACTCAGACAGAGAAATAACACCTACATATAGAGAACGAAAGATAAACATTTATATCTTGAAACTAATCTGGCACACAGCATGAAGTTGCCCAAAAATAAGATAGCAAGTGAAACATTGAAAAAAATCACTAAGGATAAAGATCCAAAGAGCTATAGACGTTCTGAAGAACCATAACATGAGTACAGACTATAAAAATCACATGCTTCATGCTGGTTCTCCCAAAAGATAAGGGAGAGGCTAAGAGTCTTCTCCTGGATCAAAGAAGAGCTGGAGCGAGGGACAGAAGACTCCAAGTCCACGGATTCTTTTTTGAATTTGAAGCTATTTCTAGAGACTTATGAAGCTTCTTCAGATCTATACTGACTTGAGGAAAGTAAATGAAAGGACCTAGTGACTGAAGTTGAAGCTAGAGGACTGTGGACAGAGGCCTATCAGAAGGGAAAAGGAAACAACGCTCTAGCTGAAAGGCTCCTTCACTCCAGACCTGTGACCTGATGGCTCCTGCTTTCCTTCTTTCAGCCTTTGCTTCTGTATTTTCTTGAAAAACCCTTCTCTTGTCTTTGAAAACAATCCATGCAAACTAATCCCATGCCCAATCCCTTGTCAAATGGCTTATCTCTTCCAAAGTCCTTTTTGTGAAGTATTATCTTTTCCTGGAAACCTACTAATATTATAAAAAAAAAAAAAAACTGTCATTTATAGGGCACTCAAGCCATACTCTTCAGTCGAGACCACAGATCAATGACTTGAGTAGCTTCACCACATGACCAAGCCCTGAATGTCACCCATGTAGCATGGCTGAAATCCTTTGGAAAACTACTGTAAAGGACATAGAGTCTGAAGTGGGGCGACCTGAGTTCAAGTCCTGGATCCGTGTCTCAGTCTTGTGCCCTCTCCATACCTCCTGCTTTACTCTCTTCACTTATGACATAGAGAAAGTGACACCAAGCATCTCACTGCTTAACCAAGTTAGTTACCATGATGTCAGCAGATGCCTCACCAGTAAACTCCTCTAAACTACTGGTAAGTTAAATGATTACCATTGTTCATATTTAGGTCTTTGACTAAATACTGAAATCTCACTGAAAGAAGCAACCACGTTTGGCTCATCTTTGCATGAGAATACCTAGAATGAGACACAACTCAAAGGAAACTTGGGTCCCCAATGTCAGCCTGGTGACAGAGATGTTCATCCTCATGTTCCTTCTTTCCATGTTTCAAAAAAAAAACCATGGCCTCCTAGCTTCTTGAGTCAGGAGAGATCCATTTGACTCCTTCTGGTCTGTGAAGTGTAAGTTGAGTTGATTTGTTGCTTCATAGGTAAAGCAGTTAAGAAGAAAGGATGGGCTTCATGCTTCCTTTCTGATTTGCTGGTTAAATATCAATTCCATTCCTTGAAAATGATGTTGTTTCTATCATCCTGGCTCTCTAAATAACTTGATGACGCTAGGAACTTCTGTAACCTATACTTCACTGTAAGTTGAGGAAGGAGAGATGACAAGGTTTTTGCATGTTAGGATACCTACATTTTTGCAGGTGCTTCTTATAGCAAGTAACCCACTCTGATTTGTAAAGTTCCCGTTGGCCAATTATAATATGGAAAACAAAGATGGGTAAACTATATGTGGTAGAGCATGTCAGTTATCTTATTGGCATCAGGAGGCTGAGGCAAGAGGATCTCAACTTCCAGAGCTTACAGTACATTGTACTGGGTTATGATTATAAAGTATAATTATATATTTTATAATTACATCCTTTATAATTATGAAGATTATACTTTATAATTCAAAGACCATGAGGAGGGAGAGAGAGGGATGGATATAGAAGAGAAGAAAGGAAGGAAGGGGAAAGGAGTGAGGAAGGGAGAGGAGGGAAAGCAGAGAAGAAGGAAAAGGGGAGGGGAGAGGGAGGGAGAGTGGAAGGCAGTAAAGAAGGAGGTGTGGAGTGAAGAGGGAAAGTGTGGAGAAGGCAGTAGGGGTGAGGAAGAGAGGAAGGAGATGAGAATGGTGGAGATTGTTCTTTTCAGACTTTCCAGCCACATTTCCCCCAGAAATTACTTTGTCTCTCCAGATTAACTTTAAATTTCTTGGCACATTCACAGAGTGTCCACAGAAATCATCATTTGAACAAATACTTTTAAAGAGACTTTGAAAACAGTTGTGTTATGTAATAATAATGATTATTTTCCTTATACTCATAACAGCCTTAGACGCTGGGTACATATTAAGTAAACTAAAATCTTCAATCATATTTACCTGTACCTGCCTCATAAAACAACACAGTAATGTTAAAACATAGATTTTTATCATGGTAGTTTCTACACACCAGAGTTCTCAATCGGCAACCCACCTGCTAGTTTTCAGAATGTCTTTTCAGTCTTTAAGATGCTATACCATGGTTAAAGAAGCACACACACAAAATAAACAAACAAACAAAAACAACAGACTGTGATTCAAGTGTTTCAGGTCTAAATCTGGACTCCTCTACTTCCTAAGCAGGTTTTACAGGCCCTTATATCTCAGTTTCCTCATTTACAAACAGGAATCTTACAATGCTTTTAAGATATTTAAATGGACTAACACATGAAAGTCCTTAGGATAACATGTGACAGTAAAATCAGTAATATTAATTATTATTCAGATGCAACAACACGGCATAATCAAATTATACTATAATTTATGGTCAAGTGATGACACTGGGCGGTGGTGATATTTTATTTGTGTTCTAACAAATAAAGTTTGCCTGGAGATCAGAGGGTAGAACTAGTTTGAGTGTCTATCAGGTAACTAAGAATTAAGATTTTGTACTCTGAATATACATAACAAATATTGATCCTTTAACCTCTTTGTGATCTGCTGCATTATGACATTTAAAATGTTTAAGTTTTCTGCAATGAACCATGACCACAACCAACAGTGACCTTTGAAGTCTCCAAAAGGATGATGGGGCCCCACAACAATAACACCACATGGACTACGATAACACCACTAAGCTGACAAACACCACCCAAAGATCAGCTTAAAACTATAAACTGCTCAGGACAATTTCAAGGTAGCTAGCTAAAATGGTCCAGCTGAGACGAGCCCTGCACTTTCCCATTATACAGAGACTGGACAACAAATGATATAGCTACCTTTCCCAGAACTTGACAACCTAAATTTTTCTTTTCAGAGTACCCTAAAGATGTCATTGCCCCCAGACAGGAGGAAGTAAATTTAATAACACGATGCCCGTGATCCCAAAAGGGAGGCTTTTGGTCATTCCATGGGTTATGAATATTTGTCATCATTTAGGGTAGTTGGTTACAAGTTATTATTGGTAATAGTCAGGAAAAAAGCTGAACAAAGGAGTTTAGATTTAGGGTTATTGTTTTGAAAAGAAAAGAGGGGGATATAGATATGATAAGATACAAGGGTAGATTATTGAATCTGCTCTGGAAAGAAACATGGGGGATATAGAAATAGGATAAAGAGATAGATTACAGAATCTACTTTTAAATAAAAAAGAAACTACTAGTTTTAAATGTGATACATTGATATGGATTTTTATATATTGATACATTTAAAACTATTTTTGTTGGAATATATTGTACATACATTTCTACTTATGTTCAAGGTATTGTACCTATACAACTAATTTAGAAATCTAGTGCAAATTTTTAGCCCTTGAAAGTTATTATTACAAGCTACTTAGGATAATAAAGAAATGCAGGTTAGTAGTTAGTTACCTATTACAATTAAACTTTTAGTCATGCTAAGTAGGTTTTCAAGGTCCAACAGAGATGTATTTTAGGTAGACATGTGGTCTTCAAAAACTTCAGAGAGCTACAGAAAATGGCATTTAAGATGTTTTAATAACATACTTTTTTTTAATGACAATGGGACATATTTGCTCCTGGCAGCACCAATCTACTACAAAGAAGAAGAAACTCCACATGAAGTTTACTTTCTTTGTGGCAAAAGTTAGCCACTGGGCAAGAAAACACCCTTGCCTTGGCTACTGACAGTATGCTGTCCAAATTGAACAAGCAGGACAGAAAAGAAGTGAATGCTGAACTTTGCCAAGATAAGGTAGGGGAGTCCTTCAGAATATCTCTTTCACAGAAAAGTCTGTCAGATATACTAGGCCTGTAGGCTGAATATGGATGCCCCAGCATTGCAGAAAAATCTTGGGTGACTGTCCAAGCAGCTAGCTGGTTTTTTTTTTTTTTGTTAGTTCTCACATTTTTTTGGAAGTCACTTACCTTCACTTCCTGCTTACTCAGGTAATATTATTTTCTACTCAAGGCTCTGATGGAGTTAAAGACTTTATAGTTATAGTTTTCCTGGTTACCAAATTCAGAAAAGAAATTCACTGAAGAGGTATAAAGCGTATATGGTTGAGAGACATTAAAAGATAGTTTTGGTAATGCATGTTAGAATAGAATTAGCACAACCTTTTGGACTCACCAAGATAGGCTAGATAATGGAGTATTTCTCTGAATTTGTCAAATGTTTATGGACTAGACATTGTTGATGTATTTGTTGATGATATATATTGTATATTGTTATTGTACTTGTTGTATATAGTTTTTACTATATTAGTTATAACTTTTTTTTTACTTTTGACAAAAATGGGGAAATGTGGTGATATTTTGTGGTCTAACAAATAAAGCTTTCCTAGAGACAGAGGGTAGAGCTAGCCACTAGTTAACCATTGAGGTCAGGCAATGGTGGTACACACCTTTAATCCCAACACTTGGGAGGAGAAAACAGAAAGTGATATGGCTGGGCAGAGAGAGGAATATAAGGCAGGTGGAGACAGGAGCTTGCCCCCTTTTTAGGCTGAAAGGAGTTGGCAAGGTAAACAGTGGCTGTGATTTTCTCCTTTGTCTCCATGATCTTTCAGCATTTACCCCTATTTCTGACTCTGGGATTTTATTATTAAGATCAATTAGAATTTGTGCAACACAGGGCATTATGAAAAAAAGATGAAAATAGTACATATATTTATACACAAGATGGTATCAGATCAGTCTGGAAAATCCTAAACCTGGAAAAAACATTTATTTTAAAATGTCCAATATATGATTATAATCATTAAAATTTTAATAGGAAGCCTTATATACACTCTAGGTTTATTCATTCCAAGCAAGCCTCACACTAGAACTCCTTTTCATAAAATGTTTATTAAGTTAGGTTTTTCAGAAAATTACATATTCAGCATTTTACCTAAAGGGAAATAAAGAATTTTCCTCTTCAGAGAGTTAAAATGTTTAGTTTCAAAAATTGTATTTCAGACAGTAAAAGTAAATATCAATTAGTCAGACCCTAACTGTAAGTCTTAATAACGCTTGTTAATCTTGCTAAGTGTACTTGTTTCATATGCAAATATGGAACAAACTGTACAGTATTTTTCTCCACAAAATTATATTCAATGGCAAGTTCTTAGAGTGCTGTTCACACTGAGATTAAATATGCAAAAGAAGAGCTCTCCCCATATTTTATTCCTTTAGAATATTTTAATAAAAGATTAACTTCTACCGTGAACACTTTCATGTTTTTTTAGCTTCCAGTATCTTTGTTCTGGTTTTCCCTTCCTACACCTGGTTCTATCACCTTGAATCCGAGCCTTCTTTGCGGTCTCTTCAACCTTTCAGATTCTTGTAGGCAATGATGGAGGTAGGGAGAAAGCCAGCAAACAGGGTTCCAGGACCTCTTTGCCCCACCAGCACGCAACTCATTTAACAGTATACAAATGATTTAACAGTAAGCCCAGCTGAGCTCCCAAAGGAAATCATTTCCATTCCCACCCCTGATTGCAGATGGAGGTCATGTTTCTTTCTCTCCTTAGTCATTGCTCAGCCAAACTATTCATATTTACATAATTCTCCCAGTAGTGTTGGGTAAACTTTTTGAAATCAGAGCAGTTTGTAGAGTTGTGTATCCAAGAAAGAGTGTAATGGGAGAACCTGAGAGATCTGGGCCAGGGCATGCGAAATGAATTTGTATTCACTTCATGCTGCATACTCTCTTCTCACCTTTCCAGAGACAATCTGTGCTTTTGGAGGCTGGTTTACAGGATCTTATTCTCTCATTTTCTGTGGAGTTTTGTGAAACTGAGGCACTAAGCTAGCTGAATGTAGAAAGCAATTGGATTGGGGGTGTGTGGCACCTGTCTATCAGCAAGAGCTGTATTCTTATACTTCAGCAAGAAAACAATCATGGTTTCTGCCTGAGTGCTCTCTTAAATCTGCAAGTATTTCCTCCAGAGTTCCTAACCTGTTCTTTTCCCTTCTCTTTGTAGAACTTGGGTTGTTACTATCTCTCCTACTGCTTCCCTATCCAAGGTAATTCCTCATATTTCCTTAGCGTCCTTGAATCCTACCCACATCATTCTAGAAGGCTTCACCCCACAGTCTCTTCAGTAACCCCTCACAGGGCATTCCCCCTGTCCCCATTCCCCTATTTCATTTTGCCTTAAACCTGACTTCACAGAGATTACCAAATGATTTCCAGTGAATGGGCACTAGTGGGCACTGCACATGGTATCTAGACAAGCACACATAATAGTTTGTTCTTTTGGGTTGTTCAGTGTTTGCCTTATTGGGAATCCAGAAACAGTACAAATTGAAGATAAGCCTAATCAGAGGGTGGGTAAACAGTAAAAGCAATTAGACATTTATTATCTTCAGTACTTCTCAGAGACTCTATCCTCTCTATCATGTGCTGAGATTCTCTGGCATTCCTCTCATATGTCAGCATCACTGTTATTTGATAAGACCGACATGTGACCTAACTGAAGAAGTACTATTCTGCAGACCAAAAACTGCAGTTCCAGTATTAATAAGTTGTTTGACTTTGGGTGAATTTGCCTGGTTTCTGGGTCTTTACATTTTTCTAGTAGGGCAAAGCACACTTCTGTCACATCTCAATGTTAACCCTTATTGTTTGCACAACTCTGCTCGGGAGTAAAAACCTTCAGTGTAATATTTTACTGTCATGCATGCAAAGTCCACCTTATCATATAGCCCATAAGTCCTACCATACAATGTTAAGTTCCTGTCAACAAGAGGAAAGGAGATCTGGCATACAAAGAGTACATAATTGTCTGCTCTGCTTGTGGAGGCAATTACTAGGTCTCCTCTCATTCTTCAAAATGGCATGCGCAATGAGGTGATATTTGAACTGAAGTAATTGGTACATGAACTTTTTCCTGGACTGGGAAGTGCAGAACCTCTGAAGCCTTCTTTCCGGATAAGCAGCCTGACTGTCTGATGTAATCTCACTTTCATTTATTTTACTCATAAGCCCCGACTTTGTACAACTCTGTGTTTTGTAATATGCCTTCTCTTCTCTTGGTCTAGAGCCAGCTTGTCAAACCCATCTTTTAATTTGTTTTGTCATTTTTTGTCAGTTGTCTTTGTCTTCTTCTTCTTCTTCTTCTTCTTCTTCTTCTTCTTCTTCTTCTTCTTCTTCTTCTTCTTCTTCTTCTTCCTCCTCCTCCTCCTCTTCCCCCCTCTTCCTCCTCCTTCTCCTTCTCCTCATCCTTCTTCATCTTCCTCCTCCTTCATCGCTTCTTTCTGTTCTTTTTGATTCTATGCTTTGATTTTCATTTTTGTTTTTACTTTTTATTATTTTCCCTAGAATCTTTTGAAAGAGAAAATTACATGAAGTTTTGGTGATAGGATGTGGGGAGAATTTGAGAGGAGTTGTGGGAGAGATAATAATATGATTAAGAAATATTTTATGAAAATATTTCATAATCATTTAAAAAATTGAGCCATACTCAAACACAGTTATCTTTCACCCCATTTCTATCACACTTTTCCTGCCTCTGCTAACATCCTGTCACACTGAGCTATGCATATCTAATCACTGCAGCATGTTTCCTGTGGTGCTTACTGATTTTTGAGTTCTCCTTTCTCACCTTTAAATCAACAAAAGTGAGTCCAGCATAATCTGTACAGCAAATGATCATAAGGCTAATTAATTAATATGATAACTTAAGAACTATAACAAATGCAGGATTGTTAAATGTATTTGTGTTAGCTTTCTTTTAAAATTCAGTGAAATTATATATGTGTGTGTGTATGTATGTATGTATATATGTGTGTGTGTACACACACACTAGTTTATCCTTAGAAGCAAAGATGTAGCCAGCCAGACCAGAATCAACATAGCAACAAATCAAGAACTATAAGTGTAAGTTGTCTTAAAATGCTCAGGCAGAGGAGAAAGATTGTATCTCTAAAACAAAGTTGTAATGTAAATTGACACACAGCTAAGAACAAGAGATGAAGAAAGGCATGAAATGCATTAAGGAAAACCCTATGCAATTTTGGGAGTAGCAATATTTAGTTTAACAGAGTAGACAAATATAGAGTGAAAAGCAAACAGTTGTGTGAATTCTGCCAAAATGCCTGTAGTATGCTCCTATAGCTAGCCCTGTGCATCATGTCCACAAAAGTGAATTAAACTGTAAAAAGGGCTTATTTACTCTTAAAAATTGAGTATATATCGTATGAATATACATATAGGAGTACCAGAGAGTTCAGAATACATGCCAGATGCTCTGGAGCTGGATTTACAGGTGTGGATGCTGCAAAATGTACTCCAGTCCTCCAGAAGAACAGCAATTGCTTCTAATCACTTAGCCATCTCTGCAGTACAACTCTCACGATCTTGATGCAAGTAACACAAGTACTACTAAGACACAGTCACTACTCTTCCTCCTTCTCAGGACTATGTTTTCCAGCTCTGGGAACACTCAGGAGTACTCATGGATCGCTTACTGGGATGTAATGCGGTGAAGACTGGAGAAGACGTGTAAAGACTTACACAGCAAAAATGACTGAATCTCAGATAGTGGGATGAATATGATCATGAAGTCTTAAGGGAAAGGGAAATGTAGAGATGAGGGTATTGAGAAAACAATACACATAGGTAGAAAAAGAAACACAAACAAGATTCATTTTGGCAGAACCAATATCAGGAGATGTAAAGCATGCTTTGTAGACCTCAGAGACACAGAACCAGAAAAACAACAACAACAAAACCCCACTGTTTTTCATGTTTCTGTTTTACTTGTGGTTACCCCGACTAAAACAGCTTCTCTTAACTAGTCACTCACTGTTTATTCTTAATAACCATCTTTCTCCTCGGCAATATAACTCCTGCCATAATCTAATCCACTCCCTGATTTTTTTTTAATATAAGTTCAGCTTTTAATGTGAAGTGAGTAATCAGTGTATATGAGTCTTTTACCCTCTAGCAGCACTGCTTTTGTTTGGGGGAAATAGATCTAAATCATGTAATGATAGTTATTAGCTCGAAAGGGTTTCAAATGTCTTCCAGTAGAATAATGAGTAGCCCAGGGAGATCCTAAAACTTAAGCTTAGAATATTTCCTGTGGATGAATATTCTGTGCCAAACTGAAAAAGAATTTCAAAATCAGAACTAAGAGACACTGAATCTTTTTGGTAAGGGATATGATGGTTTCAGTATAAAAATCAAAAGAAATTTGCAATTAGGATAAATCAATGTATTTTGAGCTTTTCTCACCACTCTTTTATTGTGATCTTTCTTATATTTTAATGCTGTTGCTGTAAGTATGTATGTGTGAAAGTCAACAAAAGTCTGCTCTTAGCACCATCTTCTAGTCAGAGTCACCAAAAAATATGGGAAGTGGCACTATGTAGACTCCTTTTGTCTGGGATGATTTTGGGGGACTATTTTTAAAAGCAGAATTTAAGCTTGTACTTGGCTCAGTTCCTTTTATTTTGTTTCAATGTATTACTACATGACTTGAGAGAGCAAACTAAAAATTGTCAGAGTACTGTCAGGGGCAATGCATGCATAAACCAATCTAGTTCCAACACCCTTATTAGCTTTTCCACTTCCCATGAAAAAATTATTTCTGTCAATATTTTAATTTCAACCAGATGGGGTAGAAGGAGTGAGTGGCATGTGAGCACAGGGTTGACAGAAAGTTGATGACTGCATGCAACAGCTTGATTAGGAAGTAGGAAATAAAAACATTCAGCTAGGTATAGGTGGCATCTACATGTCTCCCTCTCAGGAACATGATGTTATAGATTATATTATGTTTAATAAAATACTTATATTGTAGTAAGTATTTTTTAAAAACACTTAGCATTTTAATAAATTGTTAAATATTATCTAGGCTTTTTAAGGCCCAATAAAATGTAGACTGAAATAGATATAAATATAGTCTTAAAATCATTATTCAGTTTTCTTATTAGCTTTCTAAATACCTTGAAATGTATGTGTCAGCTTCCCAAGTAAAAGGAAGTATAATTATAATCATACAAATTATTTGTCTGTGGTTGTGAGGGTCAGAAAGGACCATCCTAAATCAGCACTCAATACCATGTTATATCTTGAAATCAATATGCTATTTCCCCCATTTTACGTAGTCTAGGCCTAGGGGTCAAGGTTTGGTGGGGACAAAGGAAGTCTACATACGCATTTTAAAATTACTTGATCATGACCAATGTTATGGATCAAACTGAGTACTCCAAAAAGACGATGAACTCTCATTGTCTATCAGGTGATGTTATTTGGGAAAATATTGTGAGCTCCAATAAGGTAGTCCTTAACCCAATGTAGCTGTGTCTTTCTGAATAAAACTGGCCTGGAGTGAGGGGGATGATGCAATAAGAGATAGACACACAGGGAAAGACCATGTTAATATAAAGGCAGATTGCCTCAGAAAACACATGCCTATATCTCCTTTCTTTGTGGTTCTTGTACATACATAAAATATAGTGTGTAGATAAATAAAATTTTATATGTTTATTTGACATGAAATACAAGTGAAGAGGCCATGAAAACAAAAAGGACTAATAGGACAGGCACCAAAACTACACAGAGAAACCCTGTCTCTTAAAAACTCTTATTAGTAAAAAAAAAAAAAAAAAAAACACCAGAGCCAGATAGATATTGGGGTGAAAAACTGAAAGATCAGAGAAACAAAACAAGCCACAGCCGATCTCACCCTACCAACTCCTCAGATGATCCTGTTTCCTTAAATCCTTAGACTGAAAGCCTCTGAGTCCTCACCTATGAAGGTCTCAGTTGTAACTAACTGCTCTTTGTTCCTGTCTCCTCATACCATATATACCTTTCTCCTCTAAGCCATGTCACTTTCTGGGATTAAAGGCATCTGTGCTTTCCAAGCAAAGGCATGAGATCTCAAGTGCTGGAGTTAAAGGCATATGCCACCACTGCCTCACTCTGTTCTCAGTGTGACCTTGAACTCACAGAGATCCAGATGGATCTCTGCTTCCCAATTGATAGGATTAAGGGTGTTTGCCACAACTGTCTGGCCTCTATGTCTAATTTAGTGGCTGGCTCTGTCCTCTGATCCCCAGATAAATGTATTAGGGTACACAATATATCACCACATTTAGGGTACACAAAATACCACATTTCCCCTTTTTGTCTAAAATAATAAAAGAAGGTTGTAACTAATATAAGAAAAACTATATACAATAAGTACAATAATTATATAAGACATATACAATCAAGAGTTACATTAACAATGACTAATCTACTAACACTTGACAGATTCAGACAAAAAACTTCCATTATTTATCTTATTTTAGTTTGTCCAAAATGTTGTACCTAATTAACTTTCTATCCTAACTTGTATTACAAACTGAAAACTATCTTTAGATGTCTTTCACAATTATACACTTTATAACTCTTTGGTGAGTTTCTATTATGAATTTGTTAACAAGAAAAATCATAACTATAGATATCTAATCTTCAACTCCCTCAGAGACCCAAGAAGGAAATATTAACTGAGTAAGGAGGAAGTGCAAACAAGCAATTTTCAAAATAATGTGAGAAATGACAGAAACAGCTGGCTGCCTGGACAGTCAACTAAGGTTCCTCTGCAATGTTGGGACATCCATCTGTGGCCTACAGGTCTAGCATATCTGACAGACTCATTTGTGAAGCAGGATTGTCTTACAGGGCCTTCCTACCTTATCTTAGCAAGGTTCAGCGGTCTTTCTTTTGTGTCCTGCTTGTCCGTTTGGACAGTACACTGTCAGCAGTCGATATAAGGGCACTTTCTTGTCCAGTGACTTACTTTTTCCACAAAGAAAATAAACTCCATATGGAGTTTCTTCAATGCCCATCATCTTCTCTGAAGTAGATTGATACTTCCAGGAGCAGATATGTCTAATATCATAAGAAAAGAAAAAAAAACTATGGTATTATAACATCTTAAATGCCATATACAATAGATCCCTGAAATGTTTGAAGATGACCTATCTAAAATATATTTCTGTTTGACCTTGAAAACATACCTAATATGACTACAAGTTTGATTGTAATGGCTATTGCATTTCTTTTATCCTCATTAGTTGGTAATAACTTGCAAGGACTAGCAATTTGCATTACATTGTTAAATGAGCTGTATAGGTAAAATACCTTGAACAAGATTAGAAATATATGTATAGTATTTTCTAACAAAATCAATCTCAAATTTGTATCAACATAGAAAATTTGTATACAATATACAAAAATCCAATCCAAAATAAAATATTTAAAACTAGTAGTTGCTTTTTAAAAGTATATTTAATAATCTACTATTTTATCTTATCATGTCTATATCCTCTTTTTTAGAGTAGATTCAATAATCTACCCTTTTATCCTATTATTTCTATATCTCTTTTTTCAGAGTAGATTAAATAATCTACCTTTTTATTTTATCATATCCATGTTCTCTTTTTTTTCTTTTCATAGTAGATTCAATAATCTACCCTTTACTCTTTTATTTCTGTATCTCCTTTTTCAAAGAGTAGATTCAATAATCTACCTCTTATCTATTTCCTCTTTTTTCTTTTTAAAAAAGTACCTTGAATCTAATCTCCTTGTTTAGCTTTTTTTTCCTGACCATTATCAATTAACAACTTGTAACCAACCATTCTAAACAATGACAATTATCCATAACCCATTGAAAGACCAAAAACCACCTACCTCACCTCTTGGGAATGTGGGCATTATGTTCTTAAAATTACTTCCTGCTGTCTAGGGGTGAAGGCATCTTTAGGGGATCCTGCAAAGAAAAAAATTTGAGTTAATTGTCAAGCCCTGGGAGAGTTAGCTGTATCAGTTGTCCCAGTCTGCACAATGCTACAGCCAACCTCACCTCACCATCTCCTCAGATAATCCTGTTTCCACAAATCCTTAGACTGAAAGCCTCTGAGTCCTTACCTATGAAGGTCTCAATTAAACTACTCCTAGTTCTTATCTCCTAATGCCTTATATACCTTTCTCCACCTAGTGATGTCACTTTCTGGGATTAAAGGCATCTGTGCTTTCTAAGCAAAGGCATGAGATCTCAAGTGCTGGGATTAAAGGCATGTGTCACCACAGTCTGACTCTGTTCTCAGTGTGACCTTGAACTCACAGAGATCCAGATGATCTCTGTCTCCCAAGTTATAGGATTAAGGGTATATGCCACCACTGTCTGGCCTCTATGTCTAATCTAGTGGCTGGCTCTGTCCTCTGATTCCCAGATAAGTTTACTAGGGTATACAATATATCACTACATTTAGAGTACACAATATATCACCACAGATGGGTATAAAGTATGAGAAGAACATGCTCAATATGTAATGTATACTGAATAAAAATATCTTCATGTTACATAGTGCCATATTTGAAGAATATATACAAAAAAACTCTTAGAAGAGAAAAATGATGAAGGCAAGGATCAGAGTGACACATTTATAAGCAAAAATAAAACAAAAGTCCTCACAGTTCTACAGCCACTTATAAAATAATCACTCAGAGGCTTAATATTTTTTACAAAATGTATGTTATATGGCAGGCCGCTTGCTAGCTAGCTCTTATATCTTAAATTAACTATTTCTATTAATCTATGTTTTTCCACGTTCCATGGCTTACTGGTCTGCTGGCATGTTGTGCCTTGGGTGGCAAGCTGGCATTTCCCCAGACTCCACCTTTCTCTTTCCTGTTTCTCTCCTTTCCTGCCTGCCTCTAAGCTGTCTTGCCATAGGCCAAAAGCACTTATTTATTAACCAATGGGAACAACATATATTCACAGTGTACAGAAATACATCCCCCAGCACTTCCCCTTTTCTATCTAATCAAAAAAAAAAGGTTTTAGCTTTAACACAGTAAAATTATATATAACAAACAGTTATCAGGCAAGAAATACAGTTTTGTATTTGGCAAAATTAAAGAAAGTATTTTATCATGTATCCTATATTTGTGAGTTTAAAGTTTCATGTCTAATTTATCTTTTATTATAACCAAGGAAAATTATAATTGTAACTATCTATTCTTCAACTACACAGAGACCTCAGAAGGCTATAATATTATCTATATAAACAGGAAGAATATTATAAGAAGCAACGTCCAAAAAATCTAGAATTACAGAGACAGTTGACTGCCTGGACAGTCACCAAAGTCTTTCTGCAACATTGGGGCATCTATCTTCAGCCTATAGGCCTAGAATTCCTCAGTTGCTTCTCTCTGTGTCCTGCAGAATATCTGGCAGTCTCCTCTGTGAAGCAGGAACCTGAAGGACCATCTCATCTTGTTTTGGAAAATTTTAGTTGTCATTTTTCCATGGGTCCTGCATATCCAGTCTATACAACATTTTGTCGAGCAGTCCAGGCAAGGACAGTTTCTTACCCAAATGGTTAATTTTTGCCATAACGAAAGCAAATTCCATAATGAGTTTCTTTGATGCCCATCATCCTCTTTGAAGTAATTGGTGCTGCCAGGAGCAGACATGTTTTATTGTCCAGAAAAGTCAAAGTTCTTACAACATTTTCTGTAGGTCTTTGAAGTGTTTGAAGATTACCTACCTAATCGAAATATAACTATGTATACGTAGAAAACTTAACTAACATGACTATAAGTTTGATTATCATAGATGACTAATTATTAATCTGTACTTTTTAATTATATATTACAATTTTAAATGAGCTGCATAAACATAATACCTTAAACAAGAGTGGAAATATATATACAGTATAGCAAAATTAACTTTAAATTTATATCAGTAAACTGAAATCCATAGCAATGTAAAACATTTCAAACAAGTTGTTGCTCTTTAAAAGTAGATTCAATAATCTACCTTTTCATCCTATCATATCTATACTATCCCCCTATTCTTTTTTAGAAAAATATTATATTTATAATCAACCACCTTTAAACAAAAATAAACATTTATAAACAATATTTGGGGAACTTGGGCATAGCTTCTCATATCACTTCCTGCTGGTTGGGGGCACTGGTAACTTTATGGAGATCCTGAGAAAATTAAGAATTAGAATTTAAATCTAGGATGTAGTCTGTGAGGATGGATCATCTCAGCCAGTTGCTTTGAAGCTGATTTTGGATGTTGGATCATCTGGGCCATGGTATCATCAGAGACCTTTCAGGGGGTCTTGGCTAATCAAATCATGTTATCCTGGAAGCAATCCACAGGTTCTCATCTTTTGTGGAAACAAAAGCAGAACCTCTTTCCAAAGCAACATATCCTTAGACATAAATTTTGAAGTCAAAATAACTTTAAAATATATATATTGGTTTAACTCAGCAGCCTTTACAATCAAAAGTTTTTCTGTAGTTAAAAATCCTAAAGACAATATAATCCAGACTTTGTGTGTGATTTACATCTTTATGTGGCTTTTTTTATATTATTTTATTGTCTCTTTAAAGACTTTATTTTTTTAACTATCTCTTTATATAACTGTATATATTCCTTTTTCTCTCTCTTCAAAGCTTATTACTTTTTTACATACGTTGTAAACAGTTTAGAGTTTTCTTCCATCTGAATCTGTGTTATTGTGAATATATAATCCTTCTCTGACCCAGAAAGATTTTAAACTGTTAAACTGTATTGCTAGGATGAAAAGCAACAGCCTTGGCTGCTGATTCCGCCCACCTCACCTTCCCAACATGGTGGAGGTACCCAAGTGAGTCACTCTTATCCTGCCAACTCTGGGGTCCACGCTGCCACCAGGTAGCATGCAGCTGGCCCACAAACCTTTTTATTCTGCATGAGTAAAGGCTAAATCCACCATACAGTACACTACATGTCTTAGAGACACCTCTGTGTACCACGGCAGGAATGCACCATGCTGTAGCTCAAGCCTGCATGCTGCAGCTTGCCTGAGAAATAGAACTAGGAAGCTTGTTTTTCTCCATTTTAGAATTTTTTTAAAAAGCTTTCTCAAGTTTTTGGTGGAAATTCTTGCTAGCAGTCTGGGCGCCAATTGTAGTCAGAATGTGTCTCTGGTCCTGCCCATCCCAGCAGTTCCCCAGCTGCTTATTAAATAATCACTCAGAAGCTTAATATTATTTACATATGGTCTATGGCATGCCTCTTGCTAGCTAGCTCTTATATCTCAAATTAACCCATTTCTATTAATCTATGTTTTGCCACGTGTTCTGTGGCTTACCAGTCTGCTGGCACAAGAGGGATCTCATTCATAGGCTATTTGTAGATTTGGATGATTAGTTATAGGGATATGTTTATTGTATGAAAATGCAATACATATGATTCATTTTTACATGTGTGTGCTATAACTTAATAAATGTAATTTTATGTTTTATTTTAATGTTTATTTGCTTAGTTGTAAATAGGACTAAAATCAATGACTTCAGCATGTCAGGCAAATACTTTACCACTGCAGCCATACAACTTATAATGCTGTGTGTGTGTGTGTGTGTGTGTGTGTGTGTGTGTGTGTGTGTGTGTGTGTATGCGCGCACATGAATGTAGATTTCTGAGAAATATTAACTTACCTTTCTTCATTTCTATCATACATATTTGCAAACCACATTTTAGGTAAGTTTAGTATTAATGTTTATTTAACAAGTATTGACATTTTTATGCTTCCAAAAATTTATTCCATGAGTCAGTATCATATTCCCAAAGCTATTCCATGAATAATATTGCTATTATTCCCATTTTACAAATAGCAATGCCATAGTTTAAAGCAATGGCACATTTTTTTAAAGCCCAAGGCATGTTAAAGTAAGTCTTTTCTCATGTACAATGTCATGGTCCTGATTGACTTGTTTCCATGGTAGCAATTTGGCCTATACTAAATAGAAGCAGAAGACACTCTGAAAGAGATCTTGGTCTAGAAAGGAGATGGAGAGATGAGAGGGGAATTTTTTGTCTGCCTTTCACCTAGGGGTTGTACAGAAAATGATTATTTGATACCTCTAGTATGACATCAGAGGAAAGTGAATGAGTGAATCAACTGGGTTCTTCTATTTATTTAATACCCCTCCTCGGTTACCCTTATGGATGGGTATTGGAGACAAATTTAGCTCCCCTGTTCAAAAAAATTATACCTAAGATATGTATTGGCTGTATCCTTCTGTGGCCCTTCCTCTCTCAGAAAGATCTTAGGGGCAAGAATTGCTGTGACATTTTTGTTGAGCAAGAGGGCAAACAAGCATCCCTGTGAGGTTGAATTCAATATTTTCTGAAGTTTCCCTTTCATTGAAGAAATGGTATATTTCAAGTAGTGAAGTAGTTTCTGGGCTTTATCGTTTATGCCGCTTCAACCTTGGGACTCAAGGGCTTACACATGCTGACTCAAAGACATTTTTGCAAGTGGTTTTGTGACAGCAATATAGACTTGGAACACATCCATAAGGTGATGGAATAAAATAGACTGTTGAAAAATGTATGGTCATTTCTTCTTCAGTAGAGTCCTTAATATCACAAGGGATGCCACCATCTCTGAAACATCATCTCATTGCAGATCAGAATCTAATTTCTTTCCCATTTTCAAATTATAGACTCTGATGAAATAAAATGAGCAAGAGAGGACAAGACAGAATTTAATTTATTCAGAATAAAAGAGAATTAAAATAATCTCAAAAATGTTAATCTAGAAAAGTTCTCCAACAGTGCAAAAGGAGTTTGCCAAGAAAGGAGATTTTGTCATTAGAATCAGTCAAGGCACATTTCACACCATCCTGGGAATTCTTACAAAGAAACATATTTCTTTGG